AGAGAGAGAGAGAGAGAGAGAGAGAGAGAGAGAGAGAGAGAGAGAGAGAGAGAGAGAGGTTTCAGAGTGATTAGTCGGCTTTCGGTTGGGAGATTTTATGTTGGAGGTTTGATTCAGTGGAGACAATGAGTGGACTTAAGCTTTCAGGTCCTGGATTGATTTTCTGTCTTCCTCCACTTCTTGTGTTCATCCTTCTTCTACACTTTGTAGATGCTTGGCCAGGGAGGAGTCTGTCCATGCATGTCCCTCATCCCCTAGGTGTATGCTTGTGTTCATTCTTCTTCTAAACCTTGTGGATGCTTGGGTGTGTGCTGACTACAGTCCTCTGGCCTCTCCAGGTGTATGACGCGCTTGAGTCTGTTTCTGCTACATTAGTGCATTGTCATCAAGTCTTCGTTTCACACTTGCTCTCACTAGATACATCATTGGTTTGTGAATCCACAGCTGTTATCACTGGGGCACGCATCAACAGCCATTGGATGGTTAAAGTGTCTGTGTGCGCATGCATGATTATGCTGCTATGGGCATGCTGTTCCAACCATCATTGAGGCCTGAAGAACTGTGCAGATCCTCTGTTTTATAGTGAGTTGATCTAATGGGGTGAGAAATGTATATCCATTGATCCTCCCCCTGAGCTAGAAGAAATTATTCCCTTTTCCCCAGCTTCAAAGACCCCGTTTGTCTTCTTCACTGAGAATTACATTTTCTGTATTTGTACGCTGTTTGTGGAAATGTTGTTGCATGGCAGGTGAAAAAAAATGAAACAAAACCGTTCCTCCTCTCTGGCTGCAAAGTGCTGGACGGGTTCGGTTTGATGCTGGTAAGCCAGGACTGCCAGCCAGTGCCAAAGCAACCTCCCAGTTTAAATTTATCCCCATGGCTGCTGATCATACATGCAAGCGCACCTCGTGCGGAAAGTTCCCGACGTGCGGCGCACGCGTCCAACCGATCCCGTGCGGCGCACGGCATGTGCGGGGAACGACCCGTCACCCCCCTCCGAAAAAAAAAAAAGAAGGCCAGGGGTCGAAACGGTGCATTCGAGACCCCCCACCAAAATTATAAGTGGGATGAAAATGTTTTTTTGCAGGAGTGCTGCTTCACCTTGCTCCTCCTCCCCTTCCTCCTCCTCCATGTCTCCTCCTCCCTTCTCCTTCTCGTTTCCTCCTTCTCGTTTCGTCCTTTTCGTCCTCCTCCTGCCCTCCACGTCTCCTCCTCCTGTTCGTCCTCCTCCTGCCCTTCCTCATCCTCCTTGTCCCCTCCTCCTCCTAGTACTTCACCATCTTCCATGCCTCCTCGATTCCTTACCTTCCTCATGTCCTCCCCTTCCTCTCCGTTCATGTCTCCTCCTCCCACTCATCCTCCTCCCGCCCTTCCTCTTTCCCTCCGTCCATCTCTTCTCCTCCCCCATCTCTGCTCCTCGTCGTTGTCCTCGCTATTCTCGTCGTCCTCCTCGGCCACATCCTCCTCCTCCTCTCCATGTCCCCCTCT